GGGGGCCTCTTGGGCCGTCTTAGCTTCTCGAGGGCATCCTCGGGAGGTTCCGCGGCCACTTGGAGCCGTGTTGTGGCGGTCTTGGAGCCGTTTGGGGCTCTCTTGGGCCGCTTTTGGGCGCTCGTGGGGCCGTCTTGGGGCCCTCTTGGGCCGCACTGGCCGCCGCTTGGGCAATATTGGGGCCCTCTTGGGCCGTCTTGGAACCGTCTTGGGAGCGCTCTTGGGGGCCTTGGGAGCGCTATCGGGGCCATCTTGGAGGAGATCGGTCAAATAAGACGAAAGTGCGTATTTGCCCCCCCCCCCCCCCCCCCCCCCCCCCCCCCTCCCCCCCTGGGGCCAGGATCCATGTGAGGCGTGTCAAAAATGAGCCGCCCAATGACTGACAAAGGACGGCCCGGCGACCCGCCCCCCCCCCCTCCAGGCCCAGGGGGAGGGGGTAGGGGGAGGGGTCAAGAACCCCCCCCGCCCGCAAGCCGTCTCGCTCACTCCCACCCGCCCTCCCAACACATACGTAGCACCCGAGTCTGGCCCGAGCCTCAGCATATTCAGCAGTCGTCTTTGGATGGGCAGCTACTGGGGGCCAATCCGCCGCCGCCGCCGCCGCCGCCCGCGCCGCCGCCGCCGCTGCCCGCCGCCGCCGCCGCCGCCGCCCCCGCCGCCGCGCCGCCGCCGCCCGCCCGCCCGCTGCCGCCCCCCGCTGCCAAACCGCCGCCGCCGCCGCGGCCACTGCCGCCACCGCCACCGCCGCCGCCGCCGCCGCCACCGCCGCCGCAGCCGCCGCCGCCGCCGCCGCCCCCGCCGCCGCCGCCGCCGCCGCAGCTGCCGCAGCCGCCTCCACCGCCGCCGCAGCCGCCGCCGCCGCCAAGTGTACTCGGCATTGTTTTTTGACCAGGATGGTGGGGGGTGGGCCGCATCGGGTTGGCTGCGCATGTTCCGAATTTGGAGGCAGAATGTGTTTTGGATTGTTTTTTGCAAGGGATGGTGGGGGGGGGTCGTCATGGTCCCTGGTTGGCCCCCATTCGCCTGGGGGAGGGGGTGTCTATTAATAAGGAACAGTGATAAACCCCTCCCCGAAGGGAAGAAGGGGGGTGAGAACAGATAGGACTATCTAAACCACTCACGCCCTAAAGGGCTGGTGGGATTCCGATGCAAATCAAGCGGTGGCGACGAAGGCCTCCCAGGAGGCACAAAAGGGGAGAACGAGGGAAGGGTTCGCGGCATGGATACTGTTGCCTCCTCCGCCTTGATACCTGCTTCCCCGATTCAGGACTGTCAAAGCGTATATAACAGTCAGGTAAAATGCGTGGCGTTGGACTCCCAAGAATTGTCTTTTGGCACCTTTCAGGATCTTCAAACGGTCAAACGGCTGCAACGGGGAACGTCTCAGTGGAAATGCATCCTTGTGGGAGCCCATGAAGAACCTCGGGGAAAGGATTCATTCCAACATCGAAGATGAGCCTCGGGCTTGCACTGGTCCCCCTCCTCCTCCTGATCCTGCTGTTTCTCCTCCTCCTCCTCCTCCTCCTCCTCCTCCTCCTCCACCTCCTCCCCCGCGTCATCCTATCCTCCTCCTCTTCCTCCTCCTCCTCTTCCACCTCCTCCTTTTCCTGTCCCTCCTCTTCCTCCTCCTCCTCCTTCTCCTCCTCCTCCTCCTCCTCTCGTACTCGCCTCCTCCTCCTCCCTCCTCCTCCCTCCTCCTCCTCCTCCTCCTCCTCCACTTCCTCCTCCTCCTCCTCCTCCTCCTCCTCTAGTCTTCTCCTCGTCCTCCTCCTCCTCCACTTCCTCCTCCTCCCCCTCCTACTTCGCCTGTCCTCCTCGTCCTCCTCCTCCGCCTCCCCCTCCTCCTCCTCCTCCTCCTGATCCTGCTCCTGCTCCTGCTCCTCCTTCTCCTCCTCCTCCTCCTCCTTATCCGCGTCCTCATATCCTCCTCCTCCTCCTCCTCCTCCCTCCTCCTCCTCCCTCCTCCTCCTCCTCCTCTCCTCCTCCTCCTCCTCCTCCTCCTCCTCCTCCTCCTCCTCCTCCCCCTCCTCCTCCCCCTCCTCGCGGGGGCCGGCCGTCCGTCATCCCAGCCGCGCCGGCCAGCGCCGCCCGCTCGCCGGCCGCGGGAGGCCCCGGCGGCCAGGCCCGAGGGCGCCCGCGGGACGCCCGCGCTTCTGGGGCGGCGGCGGGGCTGCTCGCTGGTCTGGGCTCTGCGCCCACACCTCCTCGGCCACCCCTCCGCCCCCTCCTCGTCCTCCTCCTCCTCCTCTGCTCCTCTTCCTCCTCCTCTTGCTCCTCATCCTCGTCTTCATCCTCATCCTCATCCTCATCCTCATCCTCTTCGTCCTGCTCCTCGTCCTCCTCCTCCTTCTTGCCTTCCGCATCCTCATCCTCATTCCGTTCCTCCTCTTTGCCCCCTTGCGTCATTGCCTCCTCCTCCTCGCCTCCTCCTTGCCTCCTCCTCCTCGCCTTCTCCTCCTCCTCTGCCTGAGATGGCGAAAGCGTCATGCCAACGCCGCCCTCCTCATCCGCCTCCATGTCTTCCTTTTCCTCCTCCTCCTGCTCCTCCCATTTTCCTGTTGCTCCTCCTCCTCCTCCTCCTCCTCCTCCTCTTCTCCATCTCTTCCTCCTCTCCTGTTCCTCTTCGCCGTACCTTTCTCTCGTCCTCCTGCCCTTCGCCTGCGCCTTATCGCTCTCCTGCCCCTCCTCGCTCCTTCTCGCCCCCTGCTCTCGGCTGCAGCGCCGCTACGCTGCGCGATGGCGACTGTTCAGTCGGGCGTGTCCCCCTACAGAGGGAATTTCGACGAAAAATAAAAGATACCCCAAAAATACCCCCCAAAGGCCAACAAATACTCAAAAAATAATCCCCAGACTATGTTTGGACTATTTTTTGAATATTTGTGGGGTATCTTTTATTTTTCGTCGAAAATCCCCCTGTAGGGGGACAGGCCCGACGTAAGGCGACTGAGCCTGCAGAGTGGGCGCTGTCTCCGTTCCCGTCCGCTTCGGCTCTGGCTTCGGCTGCGGCCGCAGGGTGCGCCTGGAAGCGTCTTCGGGCCAGCTCACGCGAGTCCTGGGCCCGGGGGCGGCCGACTACAGGGCAGGTTTTAACACATAGGGTTTTAACACATAGGATTTAGTATGGGGTTTTGAATGCATGATTAACTTATGCATGGACTCATCGTTGATTTTTCATGATCAATCCCTGCATGTTTAATACATGATCCGCACGCGGTGCATGTATAAAAAACGGCCCTGTACAGTCCAATCCACAGCTGGGCGGTCACATGCAAATCCTACCCCACCACCTCACGACTTCTCACCGAGGTGGGGGGGGTTCACTTCGTTCAGGACCTCCCGAGGGACGTGGCCCCCGCTTGAAAATCGTGGGGTGGTGGGGTCGGGCTCGCATGCGGCCTCCTAACCGCCTGCCGATTTCCCCGAAGATCGATCCCCGGACGGGTGGCCGAAGTCAAGGCCAAGCCCGCGCGCCGGAAGGCGAGCCCACGAAGGGCGCAGGCAGCGGCAGTCGGCGGCGCGCTGTACACGCGTGCGCCACGATCCCAAAAAACACAGCACGTGCGTCCCAACGGTGTGTTTATTGAGAACGGCCGCAAACAACTCTGAAAGTGGGGAGACCAAAAAGTACCGAGGCCGTTACTCCTGGACCTCTCCCGGGCTACGTTCTGACCAGGATTTCGAGGCGAGTCCAGCGCTGGTGACGAGGGCCCCCCAGGAGGCCCAGAAAGGGGAAAGCGAGGGAGGGGGAAGCGGTATGGGTGCCATTTCCTCCTCAGAGAACGTCCGTGGCTCGTCTCTGGACGAACCTCCGCCCCGCAGTCCAACCGACGTGGAGCGCCCGCACGTCCCTCGGGGATCTTCTGACCCGGGTCAATCCAGACCCGGGTCAGCAGGAAACCAGAACATGCAATGCAAGACAAACAAAACATGCAACGCAGATCTTCGCGAACCCGGGCCAGCCAACACGTGCGGCCGCCTCGCGGCCAGGAGCGGCTCGCTAACCCGGGTCGGCCAGAGGGGGTCTTCGCAGGATCCTGCAGGATCTGGTGCCCTGGCTGACCCCCGTTTGCATTGACCCCCGTCTCCTGAGCCCCGCAGGAGGAGGAGGAGGAGCAGGAGGAGGAGGAGGAGAAGGAGGAGGAGGAGGAGGGGGAGGGGGGGGAGGAGGAGGAGGAGGAGGAGAAGGAGGAGGAGGAGGAGAGGGAGGAGGAGGAGGAGGAGGACGAGGAGGAGGAGGAGGAGGAGCAGGATCTGGTGCCCTGGCTGACCCCCGTTTGCATTGACGCGCCGCCACCGAGGCCGGTGCGGCGGGAGAGCCTGCCGCGCGGCCTCGTCGCCGAGGCCGCCCCGGGGCGCGGCCGAGCTCTCGGACGGGCCCCGTGCGGGGGCTCGGCAGGGCACGCCACAGCACGGTGGGGGCAGTGGATGAAAGCACTGGATAGGCTCATGATGCTCCAACCTACTTGAGCCTTGACCGCAGGATAGGCACAGTGGTCCTCTCCCCCTCTCGCCCTCGCTCCTCCGCTCCTCGCTCTCTGGCCCGTCTCGTCGTTCCTTGCCTGGCCCGCCTTCCCTTGTCGGCCCGCCGAGGCTGCCCTGGGGCGCGGCCGATCTCGGACTGGCCCCTGCGGGGGCTCGGCAGGACACGCCAGCACGGTGGGGGCCTTGGATAGGAAAGCCCTGGACAGGCTTATGATGCTCCAGTCTACTTTAGCCTTGACCGCGAGGAAGAGTTTCGAGCGCCCCACAGAGTACCGAGATTCAAGGGTGTTCACGTCTGGGGCCCTGGGAGGCACTCGCCCGAGACTGTTTCGACACTGTTTCGACACTCATTTTGACACTTTTCCGGGTGCTCGAAATCATTTCTGGGATGCGGTCCTTAAGTAGGATGGGAACAAGATAAGAATAGGCATAGTGATCCTCTCCCCCTCTGTCCCTCGCTCCTCCGCTCCTCACTCTCTGGCCCGTCTCGTCGTTCCTTGCCTGGCCCGCTGTTCTTTGTCGGCCCGCCCAGTGGTCCGCAAAACTAAGAGTCGCGGCGGCCGCGCTGTCACGCTGGCGATGATCGTCGGCTCAGGCAGCTGTGATCACACATCCCGGAAGTATCACGAACTCCAGACGGCACTGCAGGAGTCTGGGGTCTGGAAGCCGGTGGAACTTCAAGCGCGGCTTGGCCATGGATACCCCCGCCGCCCTCGTCAGATGAGAAACCCTCTCCGGGGCCCGAAGCCTCCTGGGCACGCTCCCATACCGGTGCCTCCACCGTGCCAGGCGCCCCCCTGGGGGCGCACGTCCGGAGTGAACGTGCAACACAGGCGTGCTTCCCTGAGCGCATATCGTTTACCCAGGCCGGCATCGCCAGAGGGCTTCCGCCGACGAGACTACGTATTAGAGCATTTCTGAGCGCCCCCGTCGCCGCAGCGAGGACGACGCACACCTCGCATACAGACGTTGGGGTGGTCCCGACTCTGTTCGACGGCACAGTCTCGACCGCCAAGACCCCTCTGTCACCGTGGCTCGCCTCCTGGGTCGCAGAGGCTAGGCGCTGCGGGCACCAACAGCTGCTAACTGCGATCGCCTCGTCGCTGAAATCGCTGCGGCCCCCCTTCTCAGCCATCAACGGCCCCCCTCATCGTCGTCGTCGTCCTCCCCCTGCTCCTCCTCCTCCTCCTCCCGCAGTCCTCCGTCTTCTGTGGCTTAAATCAACTCGTCATCCTCCTCTTCCTCCTCCTCCTCCTCCTCCTCCTCCTCCTCGTCCTCCTCCTGCAGTCATCCTTCTCCTCCTCCGATCCTCCTCCTACTCCTTAGATCGCCCCGACCTCTGGCGCCTGGGGCGGGAACCCCGAGCCCAGGTGCACGTGGGCGAGGCAAGGCCTTCAAAGGCGAGGCGCAGGCCGGCCCCGCCCGTGGAGCCCGAGCGGCGCTGCAGCCACCGCGATACGGCCAACCCGTATAGTGAGGATGCGCGATTCGGCGGCGCGCAGAGGGGGGTGGGGGGAGAGGGGCAGGCTTCTTAGCAGGGCGCTGCTCCTTAGAACTTGGACGCCCGAAATGGGTACGGAAAAAAAGGGGCACAGTGCCCAGCAGCAAATGTTGTCCCAAACCAACAGCGGCCGCTGTTGGGCAGGCGGCCTCCTGTCTCGAATGGACACAGGCCGCGGCGGCGTGGGCAGCGAGTCCTGTTCAAAATGAACAGGAACTGCTGTTGGGCATTGCACCCATTCTTTCCGTACCCATTTCGGGCGTCCAGATCTTAGCAGGGGGCTGCTTCTTAGAAGGCGCTGGCCTTCCATCTATAAAGAAGGCCCGCAGCCTCTGAGAAGCAGGGGTGCTTCTAAGACGCCTTCCCCCCTCCCCCTACCCCCCTCTGCGTGTGGCCGAGCAAAGGCCTTGGAATAAGACGATGCCGGGACAAAGATTGATTCGGGTGAGGATATACATCGATAATCTCTGAGATCCGGCGGCTCTGAGGATGTCTCGGGCGCCGCAGCCGTCCCAGAGCGTCCCGGAACGCTCTGAGAGCGTTCCGGCACGCTCTGGAACGGATCTACCCTCGCCCTGGCCGCCTGGCCCCTTCCGATGGGAGACCACTGCGCAGCTTTTCGAGCGGGGCGCGGCCGCCGAAAGTGGCCAAGGATGGACCGACGAGGCGAGGATTGGGTCGGGCACGTCCCCCAACAAGCGGAGTCGGAACGAAAAATTCTAAAATACTTAGAACATGCTCAAACAACTTTTTATTCAAGAACCTCAACAATCGGGTCGGGCGAAAGGGGGGGATAGCAAAGGGGGGGTTTGAGAATCAGCTCACGTAGCTGATTTTCCCGGCGCCTCCCGGCGCCGGAGGCGGCTATGTATCGAGGAAGAGGCCCCTCGGTGAGGCCGAAACCAGCTGCATGCAGCAACTTTCGTAACCCCCCCTTTCCCAATCCCCCCCTTTCGCCCGGCCCGAAACAAGTTGTCCCCGGGCCCCAGACTATTCTTTACCTATTTTGGAACATTCCTCCTGCAGAGGGACCGGCCCGACTTCGGGCACGCATGCGAAGGGGATGCCCTGGGGAAGGTCGCCCGTGCTCCCTGTGCGGGTCGACGGTGCCCCCGGAGGGCCGAGCCAGGAACCCTGCCATCGCTCGGACGTCCTATTCCCTGTTTTTTTTTCGGTCTCGTGCGTGGTTTCTCTTCGCCAAATGATCAAGGACGCTCCTCGATGGTCCTCGCCGAAGGAATAAAAGCACACGTCCGAGCGATGCCAAGGAACGAGAGGGCAGGTCCCGCCACGGAGACCCTCGGCGCCGCGAGGAGTGCTGGAACCCGGGGACAGACAGATCAAGCCGCGCAGATCCCGGGAGCCCCCTGTGTTGCCGCATGTCTTCTGGATGTGCGTCGTCCCCTCCCCCCACCCCTTCCCACACAGTCGGCCTTGAGTGGACAGGACACGCGAGAGGACACAAGACCCGACCGAAGGCCACATCGCCATAGGAGTGTGAGAAGGCACGTGTCGCGAGGCTCAGCACACAAGGGTACCCTTGAGCTGGCAGGGTCGACCTACTAATCCTGGCCGGCTGCATTTTCCTGGGAGTCGACGATTCACTGTGTCTGTGTGAGCTTCTCTTCCCTCCTAGGTCCCCCGCCCTGAGTGCAGCGGCCCGAAAATCAGAGCCCCCCCACCTGAGCAAGCACCAAATAGACATCATCTCAGCGTATTGGCTATATCCCTTCTTCCCCCCCTTCCCCCCGATGCTCCTTGGAGCGCTCGGTGCACCAGGCATGCTCACGATGGTCACCCTCGTCGTCGTCCTCCTCCTCCTCCTCCTCCTCCTTCTCTCCATCGCCCTCCTCCTCCTCCTCCTCCTCCCCCTCCTCCTCTCCATCTCCTCCTCCTCCCCCTCCTCCTTCTCCATCGCCCTCCTCCTCCTCCTCCTCGTCCTCCTCCTCCTCCTCCTTCTCCTCCTCCTCCTCCTCTCCATCGCCCTCCTCTCCGAGGGCCAAACGAGACAACGGCGGCTCTCTCCCGCCGGCCCCAGATTCATCCGTGCAAGGCTATATGCCCAGAGACCTCCAGTTCACAATCCAGTCAAATGTCTCCTCCTCCTCCTCCTCGTCCTCCTCCTCCTCCTCCTCCTCCTCCTCCTCCTCCTCCTCCTCCTCCTCCCATGTCTCGAGGTGAACCCCGCCGTGGCGACGGAGAAGCCTCTGGGAGGCCCAGACAAGGCGAACCACGCGAGGTAGGAGGGCCGCCGTTGTCTCGACGGGCGATCTCATCGTTCCCTCGTCCGCGTCGTCCTTCTCCTCGTCGGCCCCCTCCCCCTCTTCCTCCCCCTCCTCCTCGTGATCGTCGTCCTCGTCCTCGCCTTCCTCCCCTTCCGCCTCCTCCTTCCCTGCCCCACACCGCCCCTTTCAGCTCGCCAGCCGACGGTCAGGCCGCCGCGTGGTGCGCCCCGCGGGTCACCTCCGGGCGAGGACGGGCGGGGCGGCGGCGGGGCGGTGCGCAACGAGTCGGCGGGGCGGCAGTCGCCAAGAGCCGGCCGTGTGGCTCGTGAGCTGTCGCTGCAGCGCTGCGCGGCCGCAGGCGCGGTGTAGATCGGACGCCTCGGGATTGTTGGCACGGCGAAGCAACGTACCCCCTGGCCCCGGGTGCCTGCCCGCTCCGCCAGGCTCGCAGCCTCTGCCCGCGATGCTCAACGCGTCCAGCTGGGGATGTGTCGAGTTCGGCTGTGTTTCTGGCAACGGTCGTTACAGTCAACTCGTATGGCAAGGATGCGCGGTCAGGATGCAAGGGCCTTGGAAGGCCATGTCGACACTTTGCGAGCGGTGCGCGGCCAGCGAAAGCGGCCAAGGATGGGCCGAGGGGCAAGGACCCGAGGGCAACCTTGGAACGTTGCTCATCATTACTACGCGGGCTGACCTGTCCCGCTCTGGGGTCCATCCATCGGGCCTCCCGCGCCAATCCCCTCCCGCCCCTCCCCCCTGGGGGGAGGGGGGCGAGGCAGGCACCACCGCATCGGCCTCCGGCCGGAGCGACCCGCACTGTGCGTCGGGCCGGGCCGCATGGGCACGGGGCCGAGGTCGGAGCCGATCAGCCGCGTCACGGGGGGGGGCAGCGGCGCCCTTGCGAGCTCGGGGCCGCGTCGGATCACCAGGCTATCGGAATGGGATCGCATGGGGCCGGGCAGAGTCGGTGTCGAGTCACTGTCGGATCGGATCGGAGTGGACCCTGCGAGGGGGGGCAAGGAGGGGGAGGCGGAGGACGGGTGGATGGCAGAGAGGATTGTGCAGGAGGCAGGGGAGAGGAAGCTGCGCATGGGTAGGAGGAGCAGGGAGCAGGGCTGAGGGTTGATGAGGCAGGGGAAAAGGGGGAAAGGGAGGGGATGAGGCGAGGGGAATGGATGAGAAAGAGGAGACCGAGCAGGACGGAGGAAAGACTTGATGATGGTGACCGTGATGTTCATTCGTGATGGTGATTGTGATGATGCTGTTACTGATGATGATGCTGATGCTGGTGACGACGATGATGAGGGTGACAGGCAACGATCAGCGGGAGAAGGAGCAGCAGGAGAACGATGACGAGGCATAAGGGAGGAGTATAAAGAGGGCGGATGGAGAAGCGAGGATGGGGGGGGGGAGGAGAGAAATGAGAAAGGGGGGAAGGATTGGTGAGGAAGGAGGGAGGATGGAGGGACAATAGAAGAGAAGAAGAGGACGGAGGGAGAAGGATGGAGGCACTGTCCTCCCCCTTCACTCCGTCGGGTGGTCGAAAGAAAGCCGACCTGTGCGGAGCCAGCAACCGACCATCGGGCTCAACCCCAAAACATTGGCGATGCCGACGCGGGTCCACAGAACCCGACTCCAAATGGAAACAATGGGCCAGGACGAGGCAGATGAAGGGGCGGAGGATGATGAGGAAGAGCTCTGATTTGCGTGAGGGGCAACGTTCGATTGGGACCAGCTCAGGAGGGCGGGGGACATCGAGCTACACTCGGCGATACTTCGCCAATAAATCGGCGATGGGACCTGATAGCAAATCCGCAGTCCTGGGAGGGGCGGGTCTATCGAGCCCCTATCGGCGATCCATGGGCGATTGGGGTCGATGCATGCCCTCCTGCGCCTATCACCCGCGAGCGGTGCACCTGATCTTGGGGACGTGGCCCTCGAAAACATCATGCGCTGGTCTCGAACACTGCGCCGCCGGGTGCATTGCCTGGCCGTATATGGGGCGTACCACATCCCAGTCTACGCTGGGTAAGCGGGGAGGTGGGAGGGAGGAGGGAGGGAGGACGGAGGAGGAAGGGAGGCTTCGTTCTGGGGAACAGGGAATTGGCACCAACACCAACACACAGAATTGCCTCCACTGGGAGAAAATGATCCTAGATGTTGGCGCCGGTGGAAATCCGTCGGCTACCTGGGGAGCCCGAATAATGCCACCCTCACCGAGACTGGGACCATCTACTGTGAGTGGACGCAACCGCCAATGCCGGTGTTGGTGCCAAACTCTAGGCCTCCAATTGATCGAATACGATCGGCTGATCGGTACCAGCGCTGGTTGGCGGGACCATGTATTGGCTTGGCTGCTGGGAGGGGATACGAGAGGGGCACGGGGCGAGGCGGAATGCACGCACGCAGCTGTCATCGCCAGGGGGCGCGCAGGGGGAGGGAGGGGGGGGAGGGGAGGGGGAGGCGGAGGGAGGGAGGGAGGGAGGGAGGGAGGGGAGGGGAGGGAGGGAGGGAGAGAGAGGAGGAGGAGGAGGATGAGGAGGAAGAGGAGGAGGAGGAGGAGGAGCAGGAGGAGGAGGAGGAGCAGGAGGAGGAGGAGAGGGAAGAGGAGGAGGACAGGCCCGACTTAACTCTAGGCCTCCAGTTGATCGAATACGATCGGCTGATCGGTACCAGCGCTGGTCAGCGAGACCATGCATTGGCTTGGCTGCCGGGAGGGGAGACGACGAGGGGGAGGGGGCGAGGCGGAACGCACGCACGCAGCCGTCATCGCCAGGGGGCGCGCAGGAGGGGGGGAGGGGGAGGGGGAGGGAGGAAGGGAGGGAGGGGAGGGAGGGAGGGAGGGAGGGAGGGAGGGAGGGAGGAGGGAGGGAGGGAGGGAGGGAGGGAGGAGGGAGGAGGAGGAGGAGGAGGAGGAGGAGGAGGGAGAGGGAGGAGGAGGAGGAGGAGGAGGAGGAGGAGGAGGAGGAGGTGGGGGAAGAGGAGCAGCGGAGGGGGAGGAGACGGGTCTCGAGCGAGGGTTCCAGGTCTGGCCGCCGCGCGTCGCAGCTGCCGCGGAGCCACCCCGCCGAGAGCCGACGCCAGCGGTGGCACCCTTCGGGGGCCCCCTGGCGCGAGACTGGGACCCCCGAAAAGGAAAAAGCCACTCCGCAGCGCCACTCGGCTTGACGGCGCGCCGTCCCTCGGGCGCGAAATCATGAGAGGGCGACAGATGCACGGGGGAGAAGAAAGGTGCCCTCTTCGGGCCCTGAACCCCCCTTCTGGACCCGAAGGGGCTCCGTCAAGGGCCCGAAAAGGACTCCTTTTCGGCAACCCTCGCCGGTCCCCCCGTTTTATCGCCCCGCGCTTAGCGCCGCCCAATTCGGCGGCGAGCGAGGGGGGGGGAGAGAGAAGGAGAAGGCCTTCCAGAAGGCTCGGACGTCCCCCAGCCTTCTGAGAAGGTTTCCAAGCCTTCCCCGAAGACCGAAACAAACCTCTTAGAAGGCGCGAGGGCTGCTGAGAAGTCCCGCCGCCCTCTGAGGAGGCCTTCTCCCTTTGTTGCCTCCTCCCAGCCCCTCCCGCTTCCCACCGTCCCTCGCCTCTCGCCCCCCGCCCTCGCTCCGCTCCCCCCCCCCCGTCCCCCCGCCCTCACTCCCCTCCCCCCCTCGCTCGCCGCCGACTTATGCAGCTTCCTCTTACTTGGCCCTTGGGGCCAACGCCTCGCCCCCGCACTGCTTCCCGGCGACCCCGGAGCCCAGCGCGGGCCTCCTGCCACGGCGAGCACTGGGCAGGTCACGACTGGGGGGGGCAAGGACGAGGGGGGATCGGCACTGCGGGTGTCCCCCCTCCTCGGCACCGCTCGGGAACCAGGAAGGGCGACACCAACGCCAGCAGGGCGAGGAGGTGCGAGGAGGCACGGGGATAGGGAAACAAAAAGTGGCATAAACATAAAAACTCGGAGGTCCGCGCGGATTCCTCGGATCGGCGCTGGGGCCCCCCAGCGCCGCCTCTGGCGCCGCTCCCGGCGCGCTCCGCGCGCCAGGGAGGGGGGTCCAGCGCCGATCCGAGAAATCCGCGCGGACCTCCGAGTTTTTGTGTTTATGTCACTTTTCGTTCCCCTAGCGTCGCCACTTCCTCGAGGAAACACCCTTAATTTTTGCTCCAGGGAGTGTGGCCCCGACGACGCTCCAGAGCATGCTCCAAAACTACCCCCAACGCGCAACAAAAACAAAACAGCCTCCTTGACACAGTCGGCCGGCAGCTAGCACAGGCAAATATTAAAAAGCCTCCTCGAGCTTCGACTCCGGAGCCCACACTTCCCAAGGGAAACTGGATGCCCCCCTTGCCGTCGCTCGGACGTCCATGTCCCCTGCATGTTTCGGTGTCGTGCGCGTTGTTTTTTTGCTCGATGATCCAGGACGCTCCACGATGGTCCCCGCCGAGGGCAACATGCACACTCCCGAGCGATGCCAGGCCCCCTGGTGGGGACCCCTGGCTGGCCCCCCAAAAAAAGCGCGCGGGGACGAAGCGTGCGGCGACCGCGAACCGCCGAGAGACCCCACCGCACGGCCCGCCAACCGCACGTTTTTTTGTTTGTTTTTGTTGTTTGATTCGCGGGTCGGGAGCGAGCCTCTTCCGGTCGAAGCTTTAAGCGGGCCGCGCACAGCTTTCAATCAACAGAGGAAGGGAAAAAAAAAGGCGGGGCCCCACGCCAAGGCCAAGAGAGGGCAACACCCCGGGATCAGCCGGTGCTGAAAGCGAAGTGCACGCAAAACAACGCCTTGGACAAGAACCGGGAGGCGCCAACCGCACGCTCGCCGTGGGGGCCCCGGCGGCGCGCCTCCCCGAGAGAGCCGCCCTCGGAGAACGGCCCGCCCCACGCCCCTGCGCGCGGTGCCCAGGGGGGGGCCAGCGGAGGCACCCGCGCGGGTGCCGTCCCCGAACCGAGGAGGAGGAGGAGGAGGAGGAGGAGGAGGAGGAGGAGGAGGAGGAGGAGGAGGAGGAGGAGGAGGAGGAGGAGGAGGGGGAGGAGGGGGAGGAGGAGGACGAGGAGGAGGAGGAGGAGGAGGAGGAGGAGGACAAGGAGGAGGAGGAGGAGGAGGAGGAGGAGGAGGAGGAGGAGGAGGCCCACAGGCACGCGGCCCTCCGCCCCCCACCCCTTGGGGCGCCGAGCGGCCTGAGGATGGCGTCCAGCGTCTCCACCTCGGCGGCGCTCACGCCGAAACGCTGCGCGGTGCCCTGGGGCGGAGCGGCGGGGAGGAGGAGGAGGAGAGGGAGGAGAACCAGTGCAGACCCAAGACTCACCAACGATGTTGACCCACACCCTCCCTCTCAAAGATCCCTCTTCACATGCCCCTGCAAAAGATTACCTTCACTGAACGAAGTGCCTCGTTGAGGGGCAACCGCGTGAACATCTTGACGCGTGCCAAAACACCCTTCTCAAGACTTCAACGCCGCGAGATAGTCCGACGATTGCGTTTTGGCGATCCCGAACCGTACCAGATCACCATGTTCGGGACTTCAACACCGCGAATCAAGACCACTGTTGCGTCCTGGCAATCCTGAACCGCTCCGAAATACCATTTCTGGAACGTTAACCATGAGAACCCATGAACATGCTGCAATGTTTGAAACGAGTGTGCGTGACACTAGAATAGAATCACATGTTGAAAAAGAAACGCCCTCAACTCTTGAAACGTGTTTTTCTGTTAAACGAATACGCATGGGGCTACGCCGAGAATCACATGTTGAAAACCATCCACCCTCCATCCGAAAGACTCTTCCGTTTGTGTTAAACGACTATGCGCGGCCCTAAAGCGAGAACCACATGTTGAAAACCAACCGCCCTCAATCCTTGAAGCTCTTGCAAATGTCTAGAACGAATGTGCACGGCGCTATAGCGAGAACCATATTTACAACAAGAGCCACCCTCAACCCGTGACACTCTTGCAGATAGAGGATGTGCGCGGCGCTAAGCGTAAACCGCATGTGGAAACCGACCCGCGGTCAATCCGTGAAACTCATGGAAATGCTTGGAACAAATGTGCGCAACGATGAGCCGAGAACCGCATTTTGAAAACAAGCCGCCCGCAACCCGTGACACTCTTTCACCTTTTTAGAACATGCGCGGCGCTAAGACAAGAACGACATTTTGAAAACCACCCGCCCTCCATGTTTGAAGCGGTTGTCAATTCTTAAGCATAAGGGTCATATATGGTGAAAAACTCTGAGGCGAAACGACGGGCCAGCCATTTCGACCAGCTTCGGGGCGCGACAGGGAGAAATATCTTGAAGGACAAATCATGGGGGAGCAGAAGGAGGAGTCCATCTCTCTCTCTCTCTCTCTTTCTTTCTCTCTCTCTCTCTCTCTATCTCTCTCTCTCTCTCTCTCTCTCTCTCTCTCTCTCTCTCTCACTTCCCATGCAGGCCGGATCCAAGCAGACGCGTGTGAAAAGGAGGCCCTGGGTTGGGGTCAAGAGGCTTAGCTCAAACCCCTCTCTTGTCAGTTCCTGCGACCTGTGAGCAAAGGCCGATGCGAACAGAGGGGCGCCAGCACGGGGGCGCGGCCGAGGCGTCGGCCAGCATCACACGAAGTCTTAGAGGTGGGTCAGCAGCGTGACGGTGGCCCTCCAGCGGGCTGAAAAGATATGTAGTAGCTGCAAGCGAGGTTCTCCGTCCAACAGCTGGCGACATGAAACTTGGCAATCTATATATATATGAAGAGACATCATTCCACTAGTAAAAGGCATCACTCCAATAAGACATCATCCAAGTAAGACTCAACTACTGTCGCCCTTACCCTTGGCGCCTCCTCCACGGCCAATCTGTCGAACTATATTGCCCCTTCGGGGCGCGTCCGCTCATGATCTGGCATCCCATGCTGCGCATCGTCCCGGCAGTGATCGCCTCCACTGGCGTTCGCACGCCTCGAATTTGAAGGTGCGAGGTTGGCATCTCTGTGGGCAGCAGCTGGTGCAGATCGTCCTCGGGCTGACCGATGGCCTTCAGCAGCCTCTCGCGGTCCGCCTGCTCCTTCGGCAGTGCGAGTTCTCCGCGGCAGCTGAACATAATGCGCGCCTGGGGTTCTTTCCCTGGCTTCTGAAATGTAGGCTGCATCATCATCTCCTTTACCCAGGTCCGAGCGCTGTCGGGCCCCCCGCCTTGGGCATGTCGCGCAAGCGCTGCCGCCCCGCGAGCGTTGATCGCATCCTGGGTGAGCAATCCCTGTGCTCGAAGCTGAGCAAAGCGCTCAGAGCCCCTGAAAGGCACTGGCACCCTGGGGGTCCGAGGTCGGCCTCTGGGTCCTCCTTCCGCCTCTTGAGGTACTGCTGGAAGCAATCCTGAACTTGCACTGGCAGGTCGCACTTTTTGTTGACCAGGATAGTGACATGCGACTCGTTTTCCAGTGCCCTGACCCTGCCCTCGAGTTGAACGAGAAGGCTCTGCATGATCGCGAGGGTGCTCTCCATGCTCTCGCCCTCGTCTTCCTCCGCCTATGCCCCTCCTTTCCCCATTTTCCTGGGCGGCCCTGCGGCGTGGACTGACCCGCGAGGGCGTGGTGCTGCTAGCCAGCTCGCCCCCTCCATCACGTGGGGGCTGAACTTCACGCATGTAGAAAGATGGAAGCAAATGTGGAGCAATGTGTTCCCTGGCATGCTTGAAGTAAGCAGCTGCGGTCTCGAACGATGATAGACATACAACACATTCCAAGTTGGGCTCGGTAAGAGGCGCAGCGAATCGCGCACGACCTTCTGGACAGTAGTTCCTTGTAAAGCTGCTTGCAATGCGTTGCCTTGCTGTGTCAGTATCTCGAAATGTCGATTCACATAAGACGCAGTAATTCGTGTTCGTGACGACTTTTGCTATGTTTGCTCGGCCGTGCGACCCCCCTATTGCCGATGCGGCGCGTGCGTATACTTGTTTTTACGGCCAAAGCGAATTGCATGCGCTTCAGTCATCCCACACTTCCAAGCAACGGTGCTCTCCACCAGCTGCAGCGCGAGCAGCTGCACGAGCTTCTGTATCTCGAGGGAGGAAGCGCGCTCTGAGCTCCCCGACGTCAATGCTGCAGAAGTCGGTCGGCTCCTGGAGCAAAAAATCAAAAGGTGTCTGCGTCGAATGCAATGCTGCGCCAGCCTCCACCTCCTGAAGGCTGCCTAAGTCCTTCTGAGCCTGCCGAGCCTATGGATTAGCAGAGTCGGCCACTCGGCCGTCGTCGGTGAAAATCTGATCATCGAACCTCGTGTTGCCGAAGACTGTTGCCAGATTATCCTTCTTGCGTGATACCATTTCTTGCAACCATTTCAAGCTTCTCGTGCGGAGTTCAAGAAACAGTGGGGCGAGCTTAAAACGTTTGAGGACTTCGTGATGATGTGGCGCACGCTCGCGCTGTGCTTGCGTGCCCCAGAACGATGTGCCAGAAAGAATCGCCCGGCATTTGTTATGATACAACCCTGAAGGTGCCGAACCCCTGACAAAGCGGTGCTCACCAGAAGCCCCTTCACAAGTGCACGCTTAATCGACAGCGGCGCGTCAGAATACCAAAATCTGCCCATGCTGTGAAAAGCCGCCTTCGCTGCATTCAATCGCTTGTGCAGCTCGGGGCCTGGAGTAAATGATGCCGACTGCAAGCCTCCTAGATAGCGGCAGTGATGAAGCGCGCGGCCAGCGACCCCCTGAACGACTCCACTGCAGAGCCTGCGTCGAGTCTGATGGGCCCCACGGCCTCTGAGATAGCATATGTTCTCTTGCTTGCTGATGTTCTGTCCAGCACCCACCCTCCCAAGCCCCTTGTCTAACGCATCGTTTTCCATCGTGCTCCCACGTGGGATAGTCTCCTCCACGCTGCCCCCGCCCCCTCCTCCATCACCTTGTTTGCGATGTCGTCCACATGCCCCGCCATAGCAAATTGTTCCATCCATTCAGGACCCCATGGGAGAGAGGCTTCTAACAAGGGGAACCAGTGCTTGATGACCGTGAGGTCAGCGAAACACTCCAGCACTGGCTCCGAGTACGTGCGACAGAAAAGCTGCGTGGCTCCAGCGCCTCCTGGAAATAGGCCGCTCTTGCCCTGCTGCCGGGAGGGCCCCGTCTCATCTTCAAGAAGGAAGGTATTGTGCACACTTCGATATTTGATTAACGCGCGGTCCTCTGGCGCGTGGCAGGAGTCGATGCACTCTAAAATTGCTGAATGCTGCACTGTGTAGCATGCGTTTGTGGCGTCGTGACACCGCTGCAGTTGTGAAATGCCCGCTGCCTGCGCCCTGCAGCTGCCTGCCATCTGTACTCCCATAGCCGTTTCCCTCCTCCTCCTTCTAAGGCCTCCGTGGATCCAGTTGGGCGGGTCCCATGGGGGGTCCTTTCTGACAAGTACTGCACCGCGAAACGCGCGACCGAGCGTGCACATGACCATGATGATGCGCTCGCCCTCTGTGCCGAGCTTGCTGTTGTGCTTAAGTATGCGTGCCGCCTGCGCGCTGTGCCAAGAAACTGGGCTTCTGTCGTGTACTCTGCATGATCGCAGCAAGCCCGGCAACATATCTCGTGTTTGAATAATCTTCGGGAGCTCATCCTCGTAACCTAATCCATGTCGCTGGGCTGGCTTGCGATCGTTAGTCCACTTGGGATGAAGTGCGATGCGCAAACATTCTGGCGGAGTGCTCCACTGAGGCCAGGTGCGCCAAAAACGTAATCTCCAAACACTCCTAGACAAGAGGTTCCAGTCTTCTGCTGCCTTGTAAAGCGCTTCAGTAGCGCCCACGTGGGGTCGTTGTTATGCTCGAACCTCTTGTGATGCAATCTCGGGCGTCTTCGACACGGCCGAGCAGCCACCTAGCAAAGGGGCAAGCTGCATCTTGCGTGCCCAGCTTGCAGCACGCGCCGCCGAGCCTGGCAATGCTGCGAAACAACACTGCCTGGGGCCCCTTCTGCGACATGACAAGATCCTTGCAAGTTTTTTGTACCAAATAATTGTTTTGCGCTTTTGCTGCCTGTCGAATCTCCTGGCATCTACGTTGCTGTATATCGTGCCAATGCTGCTGACTGTGTTCTCTAATGCGTTTGCTCGTCTGCTTGATCTTCTCTGCATGCTCTGCATCACCTTGCTGGGCCCCCCGTAGAACCCTACGTTCAGCTAGAAGCCTCTCGGGGTCCTCTAAATGCTCCTTGTGGCCTCAGCGTGCAGCGGGGACTCGCTGAGGATCTCTACAGTGGCCTGATTAAGAACCTCAATGCAGATG